TTTGACAATTATTAATTGTTTGATTTAGTTAAAATATCAATATAAATGTTTGGTTAATTAGCTTTTTGCAACTCCAAAAGGTTAAAATTAAAAAAGTTACTCCAAACAACTTTTTCAATTAACTTTTTGAGAAAAAAAATTATACCAAACAGCTATCAGCTAACAGCTAATTTACCAAACACTTTTCTACAATTAACTAATGTTATCAACTATTTATATCCTCTAATTAACACAATCAGCTAACAGCCATTTTACCAAACAGGGCCAATGTTTTCATCCTAAACTTTTTTTTTTTTTTTTTTTTTTTTTTTGGCTTAACTCATTATGAGCTCATCGTGATGATTATATACAGACATATAAAAGGAAACATTAAAATATTGAAAAAAATGCGTTTACTACATACTATAAATATAAAATATTTTTGTAAATAGTAATATACTTTTTAGTATTGTTAAAAATTTCATATTTAATATTGCTACATGTAGAATTTAATTTAATTTATATTTATATTTCAAATTTTATGATTATATAATGTTATATTTGTTGTTATTTTTATTTTTTATTTTTACATTCAAACTTATGCCAGACAAATAGTGATTTAATCAAAGGGAATTAGGCTTGTCATATCAAATTAAACTCAAATATACATTGAACCTTTTTTATTTTTTTATTTTTTATTTTTTTTATTATTTTTTTTTTTGGGTAAGAGAGATAGGTTAACCAATCACAAGTGGGGAAAAGGCATTGGCAAACAAAGAAATTTTAGGAAAAGCTAGCTCGACTTTACTTTGATTAATATAATACATACTAAAACAATCCATACGGCAGGTAGAATATAATAATAATAATAATAATAATAATAATAATAATAATAATAATAATAATAATAATAATAATAATAATAATAATAAATTGTTGTTGTTGTTGTTATTATTATTATTCACATTGAACTATATATGTTCATTTGATAAAGAATCATGAGTATTTCAAAAAAAAATTAAAAAATTGTTCATTTTTGTCTCATAGTTAATAGGTCACTTTCATATTTGATACTCACATATTATTTTTGTAACATTTAATGCACAACTTATTCCACATTTAGGGTCCGTTTAGATCAGAAAGCAGGAAAATATTTTCTGGAAAATGAGTTATTTTTCAGAAAATATTTTCATTTCCAGTGTTTGGTTGTATTCTGAAAAAACTGTCTTTGGTGTGTTTGGTTAATTTTCTGTAAAATGAGTAGAACTGTATAATTAAACATTTTAATTATTTTATTTAGAACATAAAATATTTCTAATAATATTAATATAATTTTATTTATTAAAAATTATAAATAAATAAATAAATAAATAAAAACATCACTGGTTTCCGCCTGAAACCAGAGCACAGCTGTAGTTTCTGGTAGAAACAAGAGCTATGATTTCCGGTGGAAACCTTAATAAAAAAAATATCACTGGTTTCCGCCGGAAACCTTAAAAAAAAAAACCACTGATTTCTATCGAAAACCAGACTTATGGTTTCCGCCGAAAACCGGAGGAAACCACGTTTTGGTTCGGAAAACACATTTTTCGTTGACTGAATTTTTCTATTGCATCCAAACACTGAAAATCCGGAAAACATTTTCAAAAAGTCATTTTTGGGTTTCCAAACAGACCCTTAGTCACTCTAACCAAATTTAAGTAACAACCATTTGAATTTCATCATATTTTAGCTTAAAATATAGGTGTCAAACGGATGTGTAAGTCCGAAGTTCAATCTAGGCACGCCCCGTTTGGGCTGTCCCTAGTCCGGTCTATTTGCTACAATGGGCGGACTAGGGCTAGCCCATTTTATATTATGGACAGAGTCAGACTTGATTTTTGACTCATAGATTGGTTCGATCAGTTGGCCCGTATATTTTAAAAAAATTATATTGTACATATATACTCTAATAAAGTAATAGCTTATGAAATTTTCACATTAGAAACTGTGATATTGGTTATATGCCTATTAAATTCTTACGTATTTACTATTTAGCTAGTTAACTATGTAACTAGCATACTAATTATTAATTACTACCTTAAAATATTTTAAAATTGTAAAATTTTATTTGCTTCAAATTGGAAAAATTACCCTTATTACTTGGTAGTTAGTAGTTGCATTTCGTAAACTTATTCTTATTAATGGTATTGCATTATTGATTATTGGTTTCTTTATTTTCTTGTAATAATTCTTAAGTTAAATAGTTGAAAATAAATATGTGAACTTGTAAAACTAATTTATACCATATACATAACTTAAATTAGTCGATTTATAATTTTTAAATTATTTTTTATTTTTTATTTTTATGGCTATGAACTGGACCGAACTTTAATTTTTATTTTTGGACCGGGTCAAGTTCGGTCCGAACTTTAATTGGACTGGGCCGACCCGGTCTAAAAAATAAACGAACCAATGGCAGGCCGGACTATGCGGACCAAGCCCGCCCGTTTGATAGTTTGACTATTTTGGTGTTTTTGAGTTAAACTAGTTCTTTTACGCGCTTTGCGCGAATGAAATAATGCCCAATGAATATTTTTAAAGAAGTATTTCAAAGTATATCAATACAACATTATATCGGGGATGTTCATGCATATGTGAATAAATAATATTGAATTTGTTTATTTAAATCGGTAATTTAAAGTATATATATATATATATAAATGCAAGATAATATATGAGAGATTGATTTTATTGTCACTAAAATAACTGTTTGCAACTTTGTAATAACGTTAGTCTAAATACTTAGGCTAAAAACGATAGTCTAAATAAATATTACTTTTGATTTAAATTTCTCTAATTCTTCTTAATTCTCTTTTGGTAGCATTGTCATTTTCTTCATCTTTAGTACATGTCCTTGGGTTACTAGTTGTGTATATGATGGGATGTGATAGTTTTTCCCTACATGTTTCATTCTTCCAAAAGGTTGAACCCCAACCCGACAGAGCCTTTGTAAATCATGGTAACTCAACTGAACATGAACCACAAAGGCTAGACTGTGCTCACTGCGCACAAGGAACCTCCCTCACTTTGAGAGGTTGTTCCCACACTGTCGCTGGTGAGACTCGATCCCTGGTCATTCTTCCAAAGTTTCACCTCTGTGACCAATTGAGCTGCCCATGCGGGTTTCCCTACATGTTTCATGCGTTGTGAGATGCGTGTCATAGGTTATCATGTGAAAGTATTGAACAAAATATTAATATTTATTATATTTGTATAAAATACTTGGTAAATAAATATATATAACATATTTTGTATTATAACTTTGATATTTAATTACAAGATAGTGTAAAAAGAAGACAATGGACGATGTAGTGAATATAATAAATTAATAAATTTGAAGGTAATGAATCTTTGAATTGTAGAAAATAAGGATAATATAACTAATGAAATTATATCTCTTTTTAAATTTTTTATAACGAATAATTTTTTTTTTAAATAAAGTCATTATAGACATCTAATTCTAAATTAATTAAATGCATATGTATTATTTTTTGTTGTAGCTACTACTTTATTTATAATTTAATAAGAGTAATAAAGTGGCGTAAATACTTTTCATCTACAGTAATGAAATCATTGATTTTTTTTTTTAAAAAAAAATTTACATTTATTGTTGAGACAAATTATTTTGAGAGTTTGTTAATGACAATTGTTACAATTCCTGTCAATAGAGGATGATAATAAATAATTCAAAATATATAGTTACAATAGATATTGTTATAATGATATAGTACAAATTAACTTACAAATTTCTTTAGAAGTTTTCATGCATTGATAAAATTCTGATATGTAAACTTGTTCAATTGGAGCCAGTGAGATGTCAACATTGTCAATTCGTTAGAAAATGGTTCTACCGTTTTAGAGTCCAGATGTAATTGTATTTATGATCAACAACTTTGTAGTTATGTCGCGCATGCCTTAACAATGATGTCAGAACAATTTTGTCCGATAAAAAAAATAATAGTATAATATTTGTAAAGTAATGTACAATTGTACCATTATAAAAATACATACAAAAAATATTAATATCATAACGACCGGCCTAAATCATACCAATAATGTAAAAGTATAATTGAAATATTAAGTTTTGTTCTGATCGAAATAATCAAAAGAAGATTAATTAAACGGAAAAAAAAAAAAACATAACCTAAATTTGTTTTTTTTTTTTTTTTTTTTTAATGCATAAAAGTCAAATGATTTTTAAAGTTCTTGTTTTATAATCTTTAATGCTTAACTTTGAATGTTATGTATTTAGCCGGACTAATTATTTGAACAAAGTTTATGTTAAATTTTATATTATATATATTTTAAATATATTTTAACATATTCGTAGTTTATGTTTAACAATTATGCCAACTCTAATTGGGATGAGGTTCGAACCTAAGACTTTTCTTATAGAAACTAATGAGTAAGTTAAAAATAATAAATAGTTAACGGAATATACCGTTACTAAAGTTTATACTCACGGAATTTAGGTTATTTAAGGGAAGAAAATAATATAATAGAGGGTAAATAAAAAAAATCATTAAAAAAATATTAAAATCAAAATAATATGAACCATTCATTTTAAGAAATAATATTACTAACGTTTTTTTTGGTTCCCGGGCTTAACAGTATTGGCTCATATTAGAATTGTAGAAATGTATGATTTCAATCTGAAAATGAAACACATCCTGAATGTTTTCTTTGAAAAATTTTATTAGAAGGACGAAATTAATGTGACAAAAATAAAAGTCTTACATCAAATGTAAAAAAAAAAAAAAAAAAAAAAATCACTTGCTGATGACTAAATTTAAAAGTGACTTAATAATCACGAAACCATAAGTGATATATACGGAGTATATATTTATATTTATATTTATTTATTTATATTTACATCTAATTAATGAGTATATGGAAGTAAAATTCGAACTCAAGTGGGGTAACATAGGTAGTTTTGATGAACTTAGCTAATCAATTCAAAATGCATGCCCAGCTTCAATTCATTCCATGTTTTTCTGAGACTTTCTGCAATGGGCAATTGCTGCCTCAATGGGAGCTTCAATGTCTGAAGTGAAACTACTGTAGCTTCTGCTGTGGAATTTATGCCCATCAAAATCACCCGATGAGCTAAATGAAACGGGAAAAGAGGAATTTGAAGAGGGGGGCAGACAATTTCTTTTTGGCGGACGCCATTTGGTTTCTGCGGATGAGAATGAAAGTGACCTGTCACTACTTATCACTTTTGCCTCAATCCCCTTTTTGTTAACTTTCTTGTGTTCATCTACTGCCATGGACTTCAGGTGGAAACCCTTATTGCCAGCTTGTTTACCAGTCTCTGGACTGTATTCTTGAGCCTTTGCAGAAGACAATAAATCTTTACAAGCAGACTTTCTAAAGAGTGACCTGAGATAAGCCATGGAAGCCTGTAGCCTCTTGCTGATAACCACACATTTCTTCATCGGTCTGAGCTTATCTTCAGCTGGGTTATGCTTACCAAAATCCATGATGATGAAATCTTCTTCCTCACTATAACTCACTTCTATATCTATGTACTCATCATCATCTGCTGCATTAATATTGTGGGAAAATGATTTTTCTGGCCATCCAATTTGATGCATAATGTCTGACTAGAACGAAGCTATATATGTCATCTGCAGGTAGCTAGGCAGATTTTTGGGGGAGGAGAGCTTAATTAGTCTATGTTGTTAAGGAGATTAGAGTAAGAGAAGCCTTTTATAGTTGCAAAAGTTAGGTGAAATTAAATCTCATATGAGAGAGGTTTTGGTGTTGATTTTTATTCCTTGTATAGTATTTGAAGAATAGGGGATGAGATATTTCATTTCAATTAAAAGTACAAATAAATAACTAAGTTACGCATTTATTATTGTTAGAACTAAAGTCTAAATTAGATTTTGATGATATAATAAGGTTTACTTTAGTATTTTAGAACTCAAAAATTTCCTCCGTAAAAATTAAGAATGGCAATGTGTCAGGATAACTACATTCACCACCTGACCCATCTTTATACCTTCGATCTCCACCCAACCCCAACTCCTCGTAGTGGGTAAATTGTTAGTTATTTATATATGTACTATTAAACATTTTCAAATATAATGCACCGCCATAATTATGAAAATATCATTGCATTTTTTTTCCTTAAATTTCAGCCATTGATCAACACAGATAAATGGATGAGATTAATACGCACTTTTTACTTGGGCATTGTTTTCATACGATGATCATTCATATATATATATATATATATATATATATATATATATATATATATATATATATATATAATGAGAATTAGTAGAATTGTGAGAACGGGCAAACTAATTTCCAATCTGATCTTCTTCTGTCATTCTAGGATGATCAGTTGGTAATTTTTTTCTTTTAAAAAATACATATATTACGATTGTGTATTTAAATACTTCCCCTCAAGCACATTTTATACTAGTAACCTGTAGCTTATCTCCAAGGAAAAAAAAATCTAGGGCCAGGTAGAGCTTTAGTAAATATATCTACAAGTTGATCTTTGGTTGAGATGAAGTTGACTTGAATATCTCTAGAAGCCATTCTATCTCGTACAAAGTGATAATCAATTTCTACGTGCTTGGTGCGTGCATGAAAGATTGGATTGTCACAGATATAGGTAGCACCTAGATTGTCACACCATGGCTTTGGAACAGAAATACCTGGCACCTTTATTTCACGTAGCAACGAAATAATTCATAATACCTCTGCACAAACATTTGCTAGGGCTTTGTATTCTGCATCAGTGGAATACCTAGCAACAATTCTTTGCCTCTTACAGACACAAGATATAAGATTAGTCCCTAAAAAAATAGCAAAACCACTAGTGGACTTACGATCTTCAAGACAACCAGCCCAATCATAATCAGAAAAAGCATGAATTTCCTTTGACATTGATTTCCGTATAAGCAACCCAATCCCAATTGTTCCCTTAAAATACCTCAAGACACGTTTCAGTTGCTCCCAATGTAATGTGGTAGGAGCATGCATGTGCTAACAAAGCTGATTAACCGCAAAGGATAAATCCGATCGTAAAATAGTGAGATATTGTAGTGCTCCAGCCAGGCTCTTGTACTGCGTAGGATCATCATATAAGTCTGCACTAAACGGAATAATTTTCGAAACAGATATAGGAGTAGAAAGAGGTTGCATTCCGCCATTCCAGCACGTTTCAAAATATCATTCATATATCGCTGTTGAGACAATAGGATTCCATCATCACATTTAACAGTTTCAATGCCAAGGAAAAAATTTGGTTCACCAAGATCCTTAATCTTGAAAGTAGCATACAATTTTGAGAGTAAGTGAGTAATTAGGGCTTGATCACTTCCCATTACAAGAATATCATCCACATAGACCAACAAATAAACCAGTGCAGAATCTTGAGAGAAAGAGAATAGGGAGACATTATTCTTTGATGCTTGAAAACCAACGGATATTAAAAATGTGTGTAAACGATTAAAACAAGCTTCATCTATACAGGGAACATTTTAATAAGCAGACATGGTGTGGAAAGCTAGCATCAATATAACCAAGGGGTTGCTTCATATAAACAGTTTCATCCAAATTTCCATTTAAAAAAGCATTATGAACATCTAGTTGCCTGATAACCCATCCAGATGATAAAGCTAAGGATAATAGAAGCCTTACAGTTGTGAGTTTCACCACTGGACTGAATGTATCAAAGAAATCCTGACCTGGAACCTGATTGAAACCTTTTGCTACTAACTTGGCTTTATGTCTCTCAATAATGCCATCAACCTTCCTTTTCGTGCGAAACACCCATTTACACCCAATAATATTCATACCTGTGGTGGAAGGAACTAGGGACCAAGTCTGATTCTGTAGTAGAGCATTAAATTCTTGGTCTATAGCTTCACGCCACTTTGGATATTTAACAGTCTGAGTGTAACACGTTGGTTCCGTAGGACAAACCTTAGCAGCCAAAGCCGTAGGAGGAGCCTGAGACTTATTACGTGTCGCCATGGAGTGGGTGCGGACGGTTGGCCTTGTCGACTTGCCACGCAGACGGCCACGCGGACGCCGTGCAGCCTTTACAGATTCGGCCGAGGATGACATAGGCTACACGGAATCAGCTTGCATGGGCTCGTCCAACAATACGGGCTCTGGCGTCGAATCTGGATGCACGGAATCCGATACAGCATTACAGACATCATGGTGGAGAATAGATTCCGCCCAGAGAGCAGTCTGAGTAGGTGGTGTAGCCTGCAAGGAAGATTTAGTAGCAAAAGGAAATACTTCTTCATCAAATCTGACATGCCTGCATGTGTAAATCTTATTAGTCTGTAAGTTCATGCACCTATACCCCCTAAAGGATTCATGATAACCTAGGAAGACACAATGAGAAGACTTGTATGACATTTTATGACGATTGTATGGTCTTACGTGATGATAGACAACCAAAAACACGAAGAAAAGAATAGGAAGGAGGAAACTTGTGCAACATATGATGAGGACTGGAATTGTTTAAGACTCTAGAAGGCATTTTATGAATCAAATAAACTGCAACCTCAAAAGCAAAATCTCAAAAACAATACAGAATAGATGCATGAGCCATAAGAGTGAGCCCGACCAGTTTCAACAATGTGCCTGTGTTTCTGTTCAACACGTCCATTTTGTTCATGAGTATATACAAATGACTGTCTATGATTAATGCCTAGTTGCACATATGAGGAATCTAATTTCTTATATTCAGCTCCTAGATCAGACTGAATGGACTTGATTTTACGATTAAATGAACGCTCAACCAAAGCATGAAATTGATTAAATATGGCATAAAGATCAGATTTCTACTTCATAGGAAAGTACCAAGTGTAACGAGAATAATCATCAACAAAGATGACAAAATAATGACAACCGTGAGAAGATAGCAACGGAGCTGGTCCCCAAATATCGGTGTATATCAAATCAAGAATGTCCGAAGTACTAGACTCAACACATGCCAAAGGGAAACGTGCAAATTTACCCAATTGACATGCTAAACATAAATTAGAATTGCAACGAATACTACGACTAGAACCACTAATCGAACATGACGGAAGAATTTGACTTAGGACAAGCTGATGAGGATGACCTAGACGGTTATGCCAAATTGAAGCGGAAGCACGAGCGGAGAGGAACGCAGAGGGAGACGAACATGGAACATGCAAAGTGTATAGACCACCTGAACTACTGCACCGTAGGAAGATTTCCTTGGTGGTAATATCTTTCACAAGGAAAAAATATGGGTGAAACTAAAAAAACACATTGTTATCAGTAGCAAAACGTTGAACAGATAATAAAGAGGTAGACAGACCAGGAACATGCAATATATCAAAATCGTAAAAGACTTAGAAGAGGTATGAAAAGTAGCATGACCAACATAACTAATAGACAGGCCCATACCATCACCGACAGGTAAAGTGTCATTACCAGTGTACTTCTCCGATGCAGAAAGGGCAGCTATGTCTGGAGTTGCATGATTTGTGGCTCCAGTGTCCGGAACCCAAGTATGAAAATTTGACGAGGTTTTAGCACCCAAACCATCCTGAAACACTAAAATAGCCTAAGAACCCGGAGCCCCTGAATAACGCGGAAAATAATTGGCTCTCGTGTGACCGAAACCTTTACAAATTTGACACTGTTCATCATAGCGTCGAAAACAATTGGCTCCAGTGTGACCGAAACCATTACAAATTTGACAATGTTCATCATAGCGTCGAAAACAATTAGCTCCCGTGTGAATGAAACCATCACAAATTTGACACTAAACATTAAAGCCACGTTTACCACGCTGCAACATTTGCGTGATCAAGTCCAAAATTTGTGGCCCGTGATTTCCGTGATGTTGTGAATGAAACCATCACAAATTTGACACTAAACATAACCTTTTTTTTTTTCGCTTTGGATTTGCAGCACGTGAACACTTCAATTACAGTGAATAAGAACTATGTTCACTTAAATTGTGAAACTCCCAAGAAAGAGCTTTGATCCTTTGCTGATGATGTAGGTGCTCCACGACGAACAACACTACCTTCACGACTCTACGACGGTCGACGAACAGCACTGGCTAGAGTCTTTTTTTTTTTTTTTTTTTTTTTTTTTTTGAAAAAGTTTCAAAAGACAAAAATCCTAGCTAACTGATACTAGATGAAAACTGAATGAATTGTATTGAATGAGATAATTACAAAGAGTACATACAATGGAATATATACAAGGAAGAGTCACAGAATGACTGGAATAAAGAGTTATAAACTGGCTCAAATACATAGAGTCCTAATATGGATTATTGAGAAAACAAATAAATTTAACTTTCGCAACAGAAATATTAAAAAAAAAAAAAGTCTCTCTTAAATGCAATACAGATGACCAATTACATGCATGTTAAGTATGAAATCTTTAAATCTAACTAACTAACTCTCTCTCTCTCTCTCTCTCTCTCTCTCAATATATATATATATATATATATATATATATATATATATATATATATATATATATATATATATATATATATATATATATATATATATATATGTGTGTGTGTGTGTGTGTGTGTGTGTGTGTGTGTGTGTGTGTGTGT